TTTTTTTTTTTTTTTTTTTTTTTTTTTTTTTTTTTTTTTTTTTTTCCCTTTTTTTTTTTTTTTTTTTTTTTTGGTGATGTATGTTATTTAATCACACCTTTTAAGTTTTATTAAAGTGTGATATTTAGGAATGTGATTAAAAATCGTCATTTTTAATCACACTTTTTAAGTGTGCTTAATAACGTTTAGATCAGTGTGATTAAAAATATTTACATCACACCTTTTAAGTGTGATTAAAAATATTTAGATCACACCTTTTAAGTGTGATGCGATTAAAAAGAGTCATTTTTAATCACACTTTTTAAGTGTAATCTTTGGAAGTGTGATTAAAAAGGATCATTTTTAATCACACTTTTTGAGTGTGATTAATAACATTTAGATCACATCTTTTAAGTGTGATTAATAACTAATAAAATCTGTAATAAAAAAAGGTTCAACATATTTGAAAAATAATCAATATTATTTTTGTATAGACATTTGAAGAATGTAATACACACTATATACTATATTTTGAATCATAATCACATATTGAATAGAATAACGTCATATGTTTCATAAATGAAGATTAAATATTAAAAAGTATATACAAAGGAATTAAAAAAAAAAAAAATTAACTGTGCTTACATATATTAAAAAATGAAAAAACTTAAAAAACTAAGTTCTTTAATTCTTGGACCATATTTTGCATCTCTCCAAAAAAATTTTAACCTGAAAAATAAAAACACAAATTAATCCAGAAACTGCTGATGCATATGAATAAACTAAAAAGTTAATTCAGCAAACCAAAATAGGAACATCAATCATTTCTGCTTGATCTTAATCCTTTTGAAAGTAACTTCCCTGTTAACACTTAGATGCCATAACAGCTCAGTGTCAATGACATTGTAATTAGGAGGTGACTAATGAGAACAATATTTAAAAATGATAAATCTCAATACAGCTTGTGTACGATCTTTTTGTGAATGTATATTATTATTACTGTTGAATCATAATTCTAAGTACCCATAAATAAATAAATAAAAACTCAAGAATTTACTCCATTTTTTTTGGGGGGGGGAGAGTACATACATTATAGTTACTATCACTAGCAGCAGTAGGTTTTGGAGAAGCAGAGGCTGCATTTATGAAAAAAATTCATCGGAGCTTCTAAATACACTCGCTTATTTTCTCTCTACACTCACTATATGCATTGTATATCTTGTATGCTACGAAGAAAAATTTGTGGATATAGATGTAGAGATAAACATGGCGGGTGTGGTGGGTTTAGAAACTCCCAATTGCATCATTAAAAAGAGGATTATGTGTATATATATATGTTGTTTTACAGCATTATCCAAATGAAATTGTTTCTTTTGAAGTAGCAACATTTTTTCCATTTTGTTTTCCATAGCATTTAAAACAAGTACTCTGTTTTATGTAAAAACATCATTTACAGTATTGTATGAGAATATCACCAATTATATTTATTTTCGAAAATAGATCCATTCTGTTTTGCAATCATCCAAGTCTGATTGGAGCTTTCTTTGCAATGACACTATACTAATGATGCATTTGGTTCTCTAGATGCCATGGAAATAGAAAAATCCATGGTATTTAATAATGCAATAAGAAGCTGAAATATAAAGCTGACCTGTGTGACCCACTGTTCTCTCTGAGTCATATATCTCAAAGTCATTTCCTCCCAGCTTAAACAAACACCCAAGCCCTTCATTTAGTCCTAAAAGAGTACTAAAAAAAAAGTTAATGAAAAAAGGGCAAAATTTACTTTATCCCTTGTGGTTTGACCCATGAGCAGCCCATCATTTAAAAATAGTCAAAGAGAACTCTTGTGATTTTAGACTAAAATGCAACACTAATTCCGTTAACAGTAAGTGAAGAATGATCTTAATATGC